TACACAACTGAGAAATATACAAGAGAATGAGTAAAAGTAGGTAAAGTTTAACTTACTCTCTGACTCCAAATTAATATTCTGAAGGGATACCTATACCAGTAATGTTTAATTGTTTTGGTCCAGTTATGAAATCCAATGACATATACTGCTACAACACCCTAAGGAACCTAAAATTTCAAAACTGTTATTTCGAGGTAGTGACTCAACTTATTGACTACTCCGGACTTGTAAAATATGTGAAATAGTTAACTTTAGTTATTTAAATTTTTAATTAATTTATTATTAATCTAAATTGTTATTTAATCAATCAAAACAAAGTAATTTATTCAGTCTACACAGTATATAGCAAAACAAGTCGATTTAAGATATAGATATAAGGTAATGTCAAAAAAAAATTGAAAACAAAACTAAACGTTAAAATGAAAATCTAAAAGCACAACCAGTGAAAACCACAACAACCCAAGATCAAAACCAAAAATTTAAGGAGATATATAGTTTTTTAAAGGCAGAAGTGGAAAAGAAGCCCCACGTTGGGCGCCAATTGAAACTAATAAAATGTGTGTATTGACAAAGTTCAGAAGAACTGAAAGAGAAGTGATGAAAAAAATACTAAAAATAGGGCTAAGCTCAGAGGAACAAATTTAAATGGCCAAAGAGACACTAAATCTCAAGTGAGTGTTCGGGCTAGCTTCAATGCACTGGATTGTGGCTTTAAAGATTTAAACAGATAGCAAGGATACTGAGCTAATGAGACAAGAAACGAAATGAGACCTGGTAATATCAAACGTGATACAACTAAAGAAGGTCACTGGGAATAAATTTATAGAAAGAAAACAATAAGAAGAGAAAAGAAGGGCGCCAACTCAACGATAGTTGAGATTTTGAAGTAACAAATGAATCTGGAGGTAATACTCTGAAATACAAAAATACTAAATATTAATCTTGTTTTGCTATGTTATATACTGGTTAGTAGAACTGAAATAAAACTCAAAATAGCAACAATAAATATATTTATAAACAAATGTATATAGGTATATGTGTATAAACAATTTACATATAATGCAAAGCCAAATAACAGTGGTAGTGGATGGTGTACAGATACAATAGGACCTAATAGCCCCTCAACAAATGAATAGTCACTACCACTGGCCAAATAAAATATGAAATATTAGTATACAACAAGAATAGTCCGTAGGGTAGCCAAAGTCTTAAAACAAAAGGTAGTCATTTAAATTTAAATTAGTTCTACTAAAATGAGGTACTAATGACAATATTGTAAAGATATCAAACTTGATAAATCTCTATTACAATTATATTAAATATATATATATATATATATATATATATATATATATATATATATATATATATATATTACATCCAAAAAATGAGTTGTTCCATACTCATTATATATTATTTAAAAACAAACCACATTAAATTTATGTCCCTCTCAATATCAAATTGTATTATATTAACAAAAATATTATATCCAAAAAAAAGTGAGTTTGGTCAGACTCTCTAAATCCTAGTTAAAACCTAATAACACATGAAGTGTCCCTTTTTCCTCCCGAATATTTTATAATTAAATTATCAAAAAAAATTATCATAAAGGTATTCACCTTATCATATGCATATGATCAGTTAACAGTAAATATAAAGTAATACGTAATACAAAAGGTCAAATAGTTAAACGACTTATCTTTACAGCACTATAAGTCCATAGGAAAAACTCCTCTTGGCACGGCTACATCAGTTTGTGGCTGTAAAGACGAATCCTGGTCACAAAAGCCACAACCAGTCACTGGTCTCTGGGTGACAGCAAAATCCACGGGTTTGCTAACTATGTATCTAAGGATTCTGTTACTAGTATCCTTGAGGGAATATTCTCAAGAGAATATCCTCAAGTAAAGTGAAATTAATATTTTCACGTGACGGAATCTAAAATGATTATTTAATTTAATAAATATGTAATTTAATAGGTGTAGCAGCATGGATTGACTGCACCAAAACAAAACATCAAAACATTAGGTATTAGGTTAAGTCAACATCATGTCAAATTTATGAAGTTACTTTCGTAGGCATGGCAAGCTTGCGCCATGAAAAGAACATGCGCAGAATACAGAAGGCTGTACCACATTTGTAGAACCTTTTATATTCCACCAAAAAAATTAGGTAAAAAAAAGAACCAAAAAAACTTAATGATAACGACATGGACTAAAACAGAATTTAAGTTTAACTATATAAAAAAAATGACCTTCTGTTCTTTGTAAGTAAATCAAGGAAATTTTATATTTAAATTATTTCGGAACTCAAAAATAAATCTCTAAAGAAATACTAAATACAATGATAAATTTGATTATATGATAAAGAGATAATACGTATAAAATGATTTACTTACATGGAGCTCGCAGCACGCCAACAAAAAAACTCTTCCTTTTTATGTGGAACTCATAAATGAATATTGATTTTATTATTTTACTTATTATTATTAAGATATGTATTTTATTTATAAATTAATTTATTCTTTCCCCAAATTATTTTTCTGCTCCAATTCCGTCACTTTTAAGGTGAAAAATTTCACCGGTTGGCGTGGCTGCGTTGACGAGTTCAGACCAAAACTGATCGTTCGGCTTTCGCATAAAATCGATCTTCCTTTCAAAGCGATAACAGCGCGTAGGTGAAGGAATGTCGATTTACAATCGATCGTAGGCGGGTAATAAAAATTTCTAAAGGGGTTAATCAATAGCGTAAACGCTACAACACCAGCTGGTAAACGAAGACGTGGAAGACCAAGATCTACATGGCTACAAGAAGTAACAAACGATCTCAACAGGGCGGGCGTACGACAATGGAGAGAAAAAACCAGAGATAGGAAACAGTGGAGAAAAATAACAAGAAAAATTAAATAAAGAAAATGAGGACTGATCTACCTCGTAAAATAGATCTAGAGAGCTTAAGCGGCGTATACCCCGTACGGGGTGTTTAGCCACAATATATAAATATATATTAAGATGGCAGAGAAAAAGTACAATACAAATTATAGGAGAGATAAGGAGGAAAAAATCAGTCAAGAAACAAAAAGACGTATGGAGGCACGAAGAGAACTTAAGAACAAAAACGATACGAATGCACGCGTACTACAACAACTTAATAAAGATATTAATAAAGCAGTGAGAAAGGACGTACGACAATATAACACAAAAAAAATTACAACGGTTGTCGAGAAAAATAAAAGTTAAAAAGTGCTGAAGAGATGTAAAGATTTAGGTAAGAAGAATATTGTTAAGCTCGCAGATCGAAATGGAAAAGTGGTAACAGATAAAGATAAGATAATTAAGGTAGTTAAGGAATTTTACACAGAATTATATAGAGAAAGGGGTAAGGAAGACGGCACCAAGTTGAAAAAAGTCCAGAATGTGGGTTCAGAGGATATCCCAGAAATAACAATCGAAGAAGTCTCAAAGTCATTAAATCGAATGAAAAACAATAAAGCAGCTGGTGATGACCAAATCATTATTGAGGCAGTTAAAGAAGGAGAAAAGACAGTATTGAAAGCATTGACACAATTATATAACTTATGCCTTTCAAAAGAGCTTACATGTCTCCTAAATTATTTACAACTTTGCTAGAATACGCTTGTAAAACAATAGATTGGAACAAAAAGGGCATCAATGTAGATGGAAAATTTTTAAATAACCTTAAATTTGCAGATGATATCGTTCTTATTGCATACAGTTTTGATCAAGCACAGATTCCAAGAACTCCATACTGCCACAAAAAGAGTTGGTCTTAAAATAAATTTTTCAAAAACACAATTTATGATAAATTTAGTCCACAACAAAAACATCTCAGTAGAAGACAAAGATATTCAGCCAGTTGGCTCCTATAAATACTTGGGCCATGAGATCAGAATAAGTCGAGACAACCAAACAATCGAGCTGAAAAGAAGAATAAACCTCATTTGGGCTGCATTTGGAAGGATGAGGGATATTTTTAGGTCTAAGATTCCAATGTGTCTGAAAAGAAAATTATTTAATCAATGTATTTTGCCAGTGATGACCTACGACGCAGAAACCCTAACGCTCACAAGAACAACAGTGAGTAAACTACAACTTACGGAAAGAGCAATGGAGAGAATTATGTTAGGGATTTCTCTACGTAATAGAATACCCAATGCTACTATACGCAAAAGATCAGGAGTAACAGACGTTATTGAAAGGATAACAACACTAAAGTGGAACTGGGCAGGTCATGTAGCAAGATCAGTTGATGACCGGTGGACAAAATTTGGATTTGGATGGAATTTCGGAATGGAGACCCCGAATACAAGCTTACAAAAATAGAGGTCGACCCCCAACAAGATGGACAGATGACATAAAAAGAGTGACTACAAATTGGATTCAGATGGCGCAAAATCCGACTAAGTGGAAAAGCATGCGAGAGGCCTATGTTCAGCAGTGGACGTTAGAGGCTAGTTGATGATGATGATGACCTGGAGTATGGAGTACCTATATTATTTTTTATAAATATAGCCCCTTTCTTTATTTTTCTTTCTACATAGTACAAATTAAAAATCATTCTCATTTTCTATTTTATACCTCAATGCTACATTTTTAAAGTAATGAAATTTTACTCAATAGTATTTTTTCTTTAATAAATAGTTTTAATTATGATTAGGTCATCTCGATTATTGTCAAAAGGAAAATCTATCAAGATAATGTGCTAACGTGATTTTTGCTCTTCAATACATATTAAAGTTTTCTTTCTTAATGGTACGAATGTCCCCTTATAGCATTAAATATTACTTTAAAACTTGTTGCTGCTCTTTGCCTTTATTGTTTCTTTATCTTTCTTCCTGGCATTTTATTCCTTTGATTCACCTTCCTTGATCACTCTATTTCTTCGTATTACCACATCATCCATTATTAAATTAATTATTTTTCAAATTGATTATTGCTCTTTATCTTTAATCTCCTAATAATAATATTTTAATATTTTAGAAGGTTACAATGATGACGCTTACAATTTTGGAGTAAACAGTTATGGACGAAGAAAAAGAAATACCAATAAAAACAATATAAAGGATAACAGTAGAGATAATGGCAATGAGGTAATTATATTTTTATTTGTAAGATATCTTCATGGACCAAATAAATAGACTTAGAATACTCTATCCATTTTTCCATCGTAACTTTTGGTAACTGTTTTAATGTCATTCATACACAGTAGTAGATAAAGAAAAACACCGATATCTTCAAATTTGTAACTTTAACGCTAATTATGATTTAGTAAAATTAGGATTGAGCTACTTTTGAATATATTTCTATATTGGATGTTATCCTTGCCTTCCCACTATTTCTCCCGTAAATTTTAAAATTACTTTTAAAAATTTAATTACCGCCAGAATTTTGTATTCGTTTTGAATTAATTAAATTTAATGTACAGTTAGTTTTGAATTTAGATTTTCTAGTTCAGAGTTTCCCAAACTTATCTAATGCTAAAAAATTTGTTCGCGACCCCCCAATTTCCTCCTACTCATTTATTCAGTATTATTTGAGAGAAATAGCGTGCCTAATTTACAATTATCTGATGGTTTCTCAAATTTAATTTTACTTTACTGTTTAAGTTTAAATCAGAAACAATTATTTTATTTTAATACAATTATTTTAATGATTGCGATCTGTCCCACTAATAATTAGTAGCAGGTACTTCTGCCAAAATATCATTTACAATAAAAATAAATAATAAGAAGTCGACTGCACATTGTACACCGCGACATATTAGCTTGTGTCTACGTCGCAATACTCTTCCATGATAATCGCGAAAGCGCTCGTTACTAGATGGCAATCTGGAACGTTCTCGTAGCCTCGTTTTGGCTTTATATAAGCGGCGATGCGCAACGAAACCTCAGTTCGAATCCAAACAGCCTATGGTGGCGAACGCGGTGTTGAGTAAGGAGTAAATATTTTACGACTTACGTATTCCCGTTTACGTATTTACGTCTACGATAAATTATAAATTATGGATAAGTTTTTAAAAAGAAGTGGAGAACTATCTACGTCTGAAAGTGGCAGTAGCAGAAATAAAAAGAAAAACAGATTCTGCATTGATGAATATCTTAAATATGGTTTTACCGTTATTTCCAATAAACCACAATGTGTTATTTGTGGACAAGTCTTGTCAAAAGAAAGCATGAAGCCATCAAAGTTACTTCGACATTTAAATAGCAAACATCCAGATAAAAAAGACAAGCCCGTAGAATTCTTTGAAAGAAAGCTGAACGTCCTTCACAAACAGCAAGACAGTTTTCCCTTGACAACCACTACTAATGAAAAAGCATTATAAGCAAGTTATAAAGTTGCTTATCGTGTTGCCAAAACTAGTAATCCACACATAATAGCTGAAAATCTGATTTTTACAGCAGCTATTAAAATGGTACGTATAATGTGTGGGGAAAGAGAGGCTGCAAAATTAAATACAATACCTCTGTCAAATAATACTATCCAAAGAAGAATTAGTGATATGGCAGAAGATATTCAAGCGCAAGTTGTGAAAAATCTTAATAAATGCACGTACTTCCCTCTTCAAATGGACGAATCCACAGATATATCTAACTGTGCCCAATTCATTACGTTTGTAAGATATGATACAAATAATGGCATTCAAGAAGATATTTTATTTTGTTCCCTATTGGAGACCAATACCACTGGAAAATGTTTACTCGACACTTTTGTGAAACGTACAAGTAAATATGATATTGACTGGGGTAAATCCAAATTACAAGAAATAATGCCTAATGCCAAATGGAGACATTGTTTTTTACATCGAGAAGCTCTTGCGTCCAAAGCTTTACCTCCTGAAATGGACTTTGTTATAAAAACCATCCTTAAAGTTGTAAATTCCATCAAAGGAAAAGCTTTGCAGACCCGTATTTTTAGAAAAATTTGCAAAGACATGGGTGCTTTATTTGAAAATCTTCTCTATCACACCGAAGTAAGGTGGCTTTCAAGGGGCAACGTCTTAAAAAGAGCATTTCACTTAAGAGCAGAGCTTTTAATGTATTTGAAAGATGAGAAGTCCCCATATGAAAATCAATTTTCCGATCCTATTTGTCTTCTGAAACTAGGTTTCCTTGCTGATATTTTCGAGCAATTAAATATTTTGAACAGTAATTTACAAGGTCGCGACATTAATATAATTACAGCCACAGATAAAATTAAGGCGTTTCTAAGAAAAATTGATTTATGGTCGACCTCACTTGGCAAAAAACAACTCTATTCATTCCAGTGTCTTCAGGAAATTATGGAAAATGTATCCAATTACAGTGCTACAAATTTTGAACAAGTTTTTGCTGACATGCATGTTACTTTGCTCAATTTAAAACAACAGCTCTGTGATTATTTCCCCGAAGAAATTCAAAACAGTTACGACAGTTTCAGATGGATACTAAATCCGTTTTTAGCCGATTCCTTTCAGCATGTTGAGATACCAATAAACATGAAAGAAAAACTTATTGAAATATCAAGTGATGAAATGTTGAAGCTCCAATTTTTTTCCCAGAACTCGGACCAATTTTGGACCGAAAAGATGCAGGAATACCCCCAGTTGGCGAGTGAAGCTGTAAAATGTTTGGTTCCATTTGTAACATCATATTTGTGTGAGTTAAGTTTCTCGTCTATGACTGCCATTAAAACAAGACTTAGAAATCGTCTCGTACTTGAAAATGATATAATTGTGTGTGTCTCAATACACAGCCCAGATTTGAAAGATTAGTTTCACAGAAACAGGCGCATAGCTCTCATTAAGATTATAATATTTGACTTTGTTTTACTCTTTTATTTTTACGGACTTTAATATTTAGTTTTATATTTCGTCTGATAATTATTTGTTAATTTCTATTTACGGCATTGTTAAAATAGAAATACATGATCTAACAAAGTGGTGCTTTTGTCTTATTTTGTAAATGTTCGGCGACCCCCCTAGTACCTCATGGCGCTCCCCCAGGGGGTCGCGACCCCCACTTTGGTAAACACTGTTCTAGTTAACATGGATAGCTCAATATTGTTAATATTTCATAAAATTATCTGTTGTTATAACTTTGGAAATATAAAGTATTAAAGTGTGAAAACCAAGCAAAATTAGAAACTCTTTATAATCGAGTAAATATTACTAATATTTAAAATTGAGCAAAAAGTGTAAAGATTTTTACTATAATACGGGATGAGAAGGCCGATTTTTACCCTCTTCCGTTTTGAAAGATCCTCCAATATGATATATAGATTAAGAAATGTGCATGATACTAATTCTGCAAAAATCTGTAGAAGGCAAAATCAACATGTGGGAAAAGATTCAATTCTCAGATAAATCCAATTTTAAGAAAAAATCAATAAATGAACAAGTATGGAAATAGAACGAATGCCGATCTGAGGAACATGTCTATCACAATACACAGATACTTAAATGAATTATTTTCTTGATTTTTTCATTTGAATATTTCTTCAAACTTAACCTTTAACACCTTAGCTGTGTTCATAGATATTTTTAAACTTACGTTTACTGTGTTACGAGTCATATATGTCCCGTAATGTACAATCGACACAGTACGTTACTACGACTAATATATGCCTTGTAATGGTAAACCATTTAAAGGGTGCCTGTGTTACAAAAATAAAAGTAATTAAATTGGTGGTCAAATTATTTACATTGCAAAAGCAGGAGTGAGATATGACTTTCCCGTTATAAGCTGAAGCCATAATAAAAATAAAATGGTTCGTTTTCAGATTTATTACTTAAATGCTGAACAAATATTTTAGATATGCTGCAAAATTGAAATAACTTTTAAAATTAACACAAAAATAGTTCGTTTATGAGTAAAAATATGATTTAATGTAGTTTATTGAAGCACGCTTGATATAATGCAGGTTTTCCATCACACTCTTCACAGTACGTTATAATTTTTTTAATTTTTCTATCGGCCTCTTTATTGATCATGTTTCTCCTTAAAATTCATTCTGTACACTTTCTTCACTTTTTATGATCTATATCTCTTTGCCTGAGAGTGTGATATTTTTTGGGTGTACGTGGTCGTGACGGTTCCCATTTCACTAATGCTTTGCGTGCTCCAGTCTAAAGCCAAGGATAGGTAACTTGTCGTTTTTTTGTTTGCTATTATTTAGCAACCAAGGCACTGCCACTTTGCGGTATCACTTCAGAGTTTTGCGTTTTGAGCTTTGGTAGAAAGGTGTTATATAGGTTTCAGCACCGGTGTATCTTTTTCTTTTTACCTGAGTCAACTAAAATACGAATATGATATTTAAATGTTGGAAGCATTAAACTTGTCTTTTGTCAATACATTTTATCACTTTAATAGGTCCCAGTTTTCTTCCCATGAGTGCAACGCACTTGAATTTGCACTAGGCAAACCTTTTCTGTTTTTCTCACTGCATCACGAATTCTTATTTTATCTTTTTCGGACATTCTTGCAAGTTCTATTGAAGTTTAAACGTTATCACAGGAAAAATTGCGTCCATTTCTTTTTCCTTGATATTAGTTATCTTTTTTATTGTTCACTTTTTTATAAGTAGTAGAATACTCCTACTTAATATTTTTTAAAATATGCCTCACTTGATTGCTAATTTTTGATGGTTTTTGCTAAATCATGATTTAAAGAGTAAATTACTAAATGCCATCTAAAATATAATTTGCTATGTTAGTCCAATTACTCACAAAAATTATTTATTGCTTAACAAATTGCTCAACAAAAAGACGCGGTAATTGTTTAACTAATATTAATAACTTAAATTACTATTTTATTACCTAAGCATTACTGAATTACAATTGCCTACTTAAAACAAGCTTTTAAATAAGCTTGTTTTAAGCGTCTTTAATTTCTGGTTGAATCTTTCTTAATCTGAAGTTAAGTTTTACTGTTCAGAAAATATTCTGAAGGGAAAGACTTTAGATCCGTTCTATGTTTATAACTATATTTAATGTTGTTTTTTTTTTATTTGCAGTGTACAAACCAATGTATATTTAATAATATGGATTTGGTAAGTATTTATAGCGCACTCAAATATATTCATAATATTATAATTATTAAAATAGCCAAAT